GAATTTTGTGACTGGTGCATGTTTAATGTACAGACTACGGATCTTTATGCAAAATAACATTTTGTAAGGTAATTCTGGAAGACACGAACCATAGTAGGAGTTTTTTTCTTCCCTTAAATATCTTCTGGGGTTAAGAATAAAATAGAAACTTCGTTGCATCTGATGGAAGTTTTGTCCATTATTGTAATTTACAGAGTTCTATTGGCTATAAATGCACAAAATCCGCAGTTTATTAAAATATTATTGAGTCGACGTTTCATAATTAGTTATAATACGTCCTGTTGATGTTTGATGGTTCAGGTATTACGTCATTGGAGAATGCTTACTGTATTATTGGGACATCTAATGACTCGATGTCGTAATTAGTTATGATTAGTCTGTAGATTTTATATATTTGTAGCATATATGATTGTTTAAATGTCAGTATACAAAAATATTTTGTTTTATTAGGAATCTAATAGAGGCATCCTTAGTGAAGTAAAGGAACTTCTGTTTAATGTCAGTTGTAAAGTGGAGAATAAAAATCTATATTTGCATAAAAATCCGCCGTCTAATTATAACGAAATACGCAATTTCATTAGTCTTGATGTTCGTCTTCCAAAACATTTGTCTTGCGTAAAAGCGTATTATCTATTTGATTATACGTCATCCTGCAGAAAATGAAAGAAAACTTCAAATATAAGTATTTTATATTTGGGTAGAAAATGAACTAACATTTCATCCAAAAAAATAAAAAAGAGTGCTATTTTTTAAATGTATTGTTTAAACAAATGGATTATTCTTAAATCCAGTCATATAGCTGGATTTCTTATGAAAAGAACACAATACGGTAATGTCTCGATGAGTGCGACGTACTCGGGTCCGCTTCGGAGCATTCATGACAAGGCGGAAATGTTTTCAGCCCCCCATAAATTTGTTTCTTGCACGATGCCGAGCCTCTGTTTAATTTCCGTTTACTCTGTTTTCATTGGTTCCAGAAGGGGAGCCCCGCAGTGCTGGAAATAATGCAGTTGTTCGTCTCGCACTTATCAAAGAATCACTGTATTGCAGTTCGAACCGTTTTTCTACCTCTAATAGTTTCTGAGATATTCAACCAAATACATTTTACATCCCTAATTTTGAATGCTGTGTTCATCCCGTCGACGTGGATAAGAACAGCTAAAAAAATGTGTTCACTATTTTCACGAAAACTATTATCTCACATAGTTGCATAAAAATCGGCAATTGTTACTTCAGTATGTTACCTTATTAGTTTGACATACAGAATTCACCCTGCAAAAGTGTCCCACATTTTTATAAAAACCCTCTATACCATATTCTCCTAACAGTCAACTAACGATCATCTAAAATGCATCACTCCAAATCACATTCTCAGCACATGCCCAAATTCCTCTGTCCAGAAACGTACAACTAACTTCGAGACCGTTCTTCTCGGAATCATCCCCAACCCCCACAATCGTGACCCCCCCCCCCATGAAATACACCTATGTAACGTCCACCGCTGCCCCGGTTACTTCCGATTTACCCGAGCGGCGCGGCGGCGACACGCGGATTTTCGAAAGCGGGGTGAAACACGATTAAGAGGATGCGCGACAGGGGTGGGCGCCGTTCACGATCACGGCGGAGTACGGAGGGTGGGATTGGTGGATCGAGGGCGAAGGGAAGGGTAGAGCAAGCGTGTATGGGCGGCCGATTACGCCGATCTCCATTAGAGGGATTGTAAACTCTTGTAAATAAATAATGCACGTATCGGCGAGGAGCGTGGAGGGCTCTTTGCCTAAGCAGCCATCGGTCGTGGAACTTAATAAACGGGCGCAGTTATCAATTTATAATGGATCGGCGTGTCGGGCGCATGCGCGTGCCTACAGGGTCGTATCTCTGGTTACATAACGGCGTGCACGCGAGTGGCTTTAAACTCGGTGTATTCTAACCGTGCTCCCACACACCCCTCTTCTCCCCCCTTTCGTCTCCGCGCGATTCCACGTTCTCCTCGCTTCCTACCCCCTCCTCTCCGACGCCAACCCTGGCTACCCCCTTCTACCCCCCTGCACTGAACTTGGTCTTCTTCGTCTTCCGCCTCTCTCTCTCTCTCTTCACCCTTTGCGGCTCCGCTACAAGGGACAAATTGAATTTTAGATCATGCCCGTGCTCTTCTGGGGGTCCACGGGATACTGGAAAGGGGCGGAGGGGGAGGACGAACGGGGCGAGAAGCTCCGAAGGGGCGGAGCAGACGTCGAGATGATACTAATTGAAATTTGAAATTGATATTAGCGAATTATTACCCCTCTACTGCTTCTGCTTGGCCCAACGCAATTACGGCCGCGTGTCGGGTATCAAAAGTAATTGCTGCCAAACTTAACGAAATTCAGGCAATTTTCGTTTTCGGCCGGCCTGACCTTCCACGACGACGAATTACCGGCTCGGGTTTCGCTTTACGTATGCACGTAGTTTTCATTGGGGGGGGGGGGGGGGGGAGTTGGGCGAGGAATCGTTTGAGCGACACGGACACCAACGATGGTCTTTGGATTTCCGGTCGCGTATTTGGAGACGGTTGAACCGTGGCCGATTTGAAGGAGATTTTGGTTTTTGAATTTTTTTGACCGTTTCGATGGAAGTTTGTTGTTTATTGTTTTTTCGGTAGATTTGTGGCGGATACGCAGGTCAACGTTTATTAGTATGACATAGTTTAATCATATAACGCCTGAATTTTTATTTTAAGGAAAAATCTTCTTGATGCTTCAGTTTTATATTATAAACATATAAATTCTAAAACACATCTAGAAATTGATAGGTTTACTTTTCTTTTCATATGTTATAAAATCGTCATATACGTCCTTTGATTAACTTTACTAGTATGTAATATATCGTTATAACCAAGGGTTACGAGAAAGTCATGTTCGGTGTTATCGGGTTAAGAACGATATTCCTACAAATATATATACATTTCTCATTTCATTCACTGTCAATTATTGTATGGAGATGAGGATTTTTAATGTAAAGAATATTTAGTTACTTGGACTCCATGATGTAATAATTTCTATACAGTTTAATTGACAACAATTTAGTTCATAGACTGTTAAAGAAATTTACATTCAATTAATTCAATTTTACTCTTAATCAGAATATATGTATTTGTAGTTGGCATGTCTGACTGTAACTAGCCTTTTCTACTGTATGGTCGATTGTAATCATTAGCTGACAGTAGAGCTTCTTTAAAATAAAATTATATGGGGTGGTTATATAATGGTGACCATTAAATGAAATAAACAAATATCTCCCCAATTTCTCTGAATTTATTGTTAACTTAAATCATCTATTCTAAACGTATTTAATTATGAGCCTCCATTACAATTAGTCGAAATTCTTAAAAATTCTCAAATTGTTTCTCGTGTTTCGTTGTTATTAGACAACGAAACTTGAATACATTACGCATAAAATAAGAACAGGAAACTAGATGGGCCTTCTTAAAATACACAATTTTTTAATATTATACAGGGTGATCCTTTTGCTGCGCAAACCAAAAGTCGTGTCGTTCCAAACAATCACGATCTTCGAATTTGCGCAGCAAAAGAATCACCCTATATATGATAATACATAATTGTTTATTAGCTATTGAATTTATATTATACTCTACCTACATTTAAACTAGTGTCGTAATAAATTATTTGCAGACAATCTATGGATGTTTAGTCAGAAAATTTATATGAAATATGGTTTATTGAGTGAAAAATGATAAAAAAAACTGAATAAATACATGCAAAAATTCACTTCAGTGACTTTTCAAATCTTTAAATGTTACTTCTGAATCTCCCTTCACAATTTTTTAACTACTTATGAATATATGTTAGAAACTTTCTACCAACGCTTGGATTTTTAATAAGAACTGTATTTACCAAAGATTCTGGGGTAAGTGCAGTGCGATTTAACACATTCCTTTCACCAGAAGGTACCCTTACCTTCCCTAGATCGTGACCAGATCCTCCAAAAACAATGTCCTTACCTTTAAGACAATGCAACCTCGGCCTACTCACTATTCCCAGCTTTCTCTCATTTGTCTCACATTAACAAACCTACGACAGTCGATAGCTGAAGGACCCAACGTTATCCGCAGATATTCTGTGACATTAGGGCTGTTTAGTTTCACGCCTTCTCTTTCAGATCCGCACATAGCCTAAGTCTCTATCAGAAATCCTTCGAAAGCAAAATAGGGCCAGGAATTCTACCTTCGACTCCACTCGAAACACGTTGACGACAACACATTTTTAAAAAAATTATTAAAATCTACGTCACTTCTCCTCATATAGTTTCATATTATCCTAAATGCAGTGAATTAACCCTCGAATTCAAACGTTTCTGATCATTGAATAGACGACGGCCACTGGGTATAAATATGTCCGTCTGTCTTTAGATGTGTTTTGGAACGGATTTCTTCAAATGTCGCTGGTTTTCTCATTTAAAAGCTAATACGAATATCAGTTAGCTTCTGTACTTACAGGAATAGTGCATGAAGTTTCTGGCATTTTGGATCAAAATAGACCCAGACACCTTCCGAGATTTAAAGGAAAACAAAAATATATGCTTACAATACGAGATTAAGATTCTATTTAACTAAACCAGTCGTCAGTTGGGCAAACAATAAAATTAAACGACAAGTCACTCCAATAGAATCTATCGGGGGACAATTATAATCAACGAATTAATTCTTTCATCTCTGAGTGACTCACTCATCGTCAGAAGTACACACGAGAATCTTCTAAGCGTGGTCGTAATAGTCTCTAATTAATTTCCCCAGAAACATGATTCATAACGCAAAACACGTCTGGTTGCAGATTGGAACTGTTCACACCCATCAACCCAACAATAACCACCACCACCCGCACCATCAGCAGTCGCAGCAGCAACAGCAGCAGCAACAACAACAGCAGACGAGCCAGCCGCAGGTGCCCGGAGTCGGCGGTGGTGGGGGGCCGGGGGGTGGCACGGTGGCCAGGGCTGGGGGCATGTTCTGCTACCACTGCCCCCCGGGTCTCCCAACGCCACGATTACCGCCCACCCTTGAGTACCCCTTCACCGCTACTCACCCCTGTAAGTTAGACGATTTGTTCCGTTGATCGACAGTGGAAATTTTATGCTACGTTCTACGAGATTTTATATTTTCTTCCTCTTATTAACCTCTTAACCTCTTCAGGGACGGATTCATTAGGAGTAGAAAGAAAAACAGTTTTTCTTTTTTTTCAGCTATTTACTTAACCCTCGCATAACGATGGCTGGGTCACTTTGTTCGAATGAGGATGTGTCTGATGAATGAACAAAAATCAATTTCTATAAAAATGCAAGTTTTATATTATTTGTTTATAAATTTTTATAAATGAATGTATTAGGTCGAGTTACAAATAACTTCTGTCATACGTATTAAGTCAATTATGAAATAACAATTGGATAGCAATGGGCATAGGATTAGTTAACACTAGAACTACCAGCATTGAATGTATGCTGAGTGAAATTGTGTAATGTATTAATACGTGTAATATACATATAATGCAATATAGCTTAGTATACTATAATATAAATTGTATAAGAAATTGAAGGTTAACATGAATTCCGATGGAAGTATCTCTACGATTTCAATAATTGTAAAATAAAACATCTGGAATCCGTCATTTTGACGGGTTTCGTAGTTCTAGTGTTAAATTGAACATCAATTATTAAGTTTACAGGTAATGAGGAATGTTGCATAAATTGATATTCATTGTAAGATGCCTTGAATTGACATAAATTTAAAAAACTACAACGGATGTTATTTATAGCTCAACCTAATAACATTTTTATGTAGTATCTGTTATGGGTCACGTGTGACCCGGTCGTCGGCTGCCACGTCTATTAAGCGTGAGTTAAAATATATTAATGAATATTAATGAAAATCAATTGGCAGGATATCTTTATTTTTTGGGTGAGGAATTTCTTAATGGGCACTTATTCGCAACGATGTTTATTATATCATTTGGAATCATGCTTAAATGAAAAAGAAACTAAACGTACACATGTGTGGTACACAATATCCCTCAAGAGGTTAAACGTTGTGGTTCATCACTGAAAGTGCAGTTCACAGTGGCACGAAATTTTCCACCGTTGGCGTACACGTACACTCTCGTCCATAAATCACTGGACACTTGCGCTACTAAACGTGAAATAAAAAAGAGTTAGAGTTAAAACATTATTTCAGGCATGAAATAAACGTATTCTTATTAACTTTGCACATCGGAGAGAAAATACTAATTATATTCAGTGTTGTCAACAATATTAAATATCCATTTAACCCCTTAACGTGCTCTTTTTTTGAAAAGAATATCGTAAAAAAATCAATTTCTTTTATTTGCTGATATCATTACTTGAACACATTTTTGTACAATACTCACACATATGGGGACAAGAAATATTATATTTAATTAGAAACATTAATTTTACTTCTTTGTGTTATACATATACGTGAAATGAAGGCACAATAACTAAATCGGTTCGAAGGACAACACAAAATTAAAATTTTTATCTCATTCTGTATTAGAACCACAATGAATGAAACTGATTGCTGAAATAATAACAGTCGTAAATAAAGCAAACTTTTGAAAAGCCGCTCTCTCGACGCTTGTATTTATCGATGGGTATAGATGAACAATCACGATATTTTAGACTTACGAAAAATTAGGTTAAATTATGCAAACAGTGATGCAATAATTCTTTTTGTATACAGATTATTTTTTATTGTTCGTGTTTATTGAAGCACGAACAATATGACAACATAAAATTCTATGGTGCTCGAGTTAACTCGAGCGTGCACGTTAAGGGGTTAATTAGTGTTCATTTCATTCAGGAATATTTATCCAGATGAATCGTGGCACTTTAACAGTGACTTTTTTGAAGCAATTCTCTCCCTCAATCAATCGAGTTTGCACAGAATGTCACGTAGGAAATTAATGGTAGTAAAAAGTAGCAATTGCTTTATGAATCATGGAGGATTAATGGTAATATACAATGTAAAATCGGTGATTCCATTACACATCATACAGTATAATAATCGAGTCTACAAACATGCTCAGCTATCAGAATCCCCCTACATCATCCGGCGACACGATTACAAACTTCCCTAGGGTACCGTTTCGCCCCGATTTACCTCTCCAAGAAAAATTTGATTCCGCCCATAATCTTACATTTTCTCATCTATTTTCACCCTCGCCATTCTCCCCCAATTTCATTCTGACCGCTGCAAAGTAGACTTTAAAACGAACTATATCATGAAAAACTGTCAAACGCCTGATGCAATTTTCTGAATTATTTTCACTATACGAAAATGAAAAAATATTAGGTATATAAGTATAATATTCCAATACAATTTGACTTGTTATAACCAATAATAACATGTTATATCGAACAGGGTAAGGATATTCTCTTATAGTTTACTGTAAAGCTTCGATCGACAATAAGAGTACTCCTAAAAATAGTTTCAATAATTCTAGTTTATTTGTTAGTTCATTATCAATTTATACAATTTGTAAATATGTTCAAGTAGGATTTAAAAGATAATATATGTCTAGACTGCTCCTTGAAAATAAAATCGAATTTCTATAGAACCAGAATTTACAGTGAAAGCTAATAATTTCAACAATTTATATATTTAATATTCAAAAGTAAAAATATGGTGTACGACTTTAAAAAAGATTATAACTTTACTGTTCATTAAACATAGGCATCGTACTGCACATACTGGAGGTTACTATAAGTGTGCCATTTTTGAAAAGACAATTATACATATATAAGTATTAAAATTACGAAAAATGTTTACATGTACGCAGTGAGTATACATGCACACTCAGGTGTTCCACAATAAATATACAAACATTATACAATAATAAAAAACAAATTATTTGAAAGTTTGTATTGAGAACCAATGGGAATAAAACCCCGACGTACGTACATATATGTATACATATATTAGCCCTAGGAAGTCACAGGTCCGTTCTACCTGGCACAAATTAGCCACTAAGCTTCTAAAAGTTTCTAAAGAGAAAAATAACAAAAAAATTCACGTGCTAAGCCCAGGTATTGGCTGGTAACGATCTCTGTCCCTGTCCCACCTAAATGGTCATCACGTCCCTTTGTTTATAGTCGCTGATTCAACTCGTTGGATAAGGTACAGACTTTTAAATAACCATTTCAGAAAGTCACCTCTAATTGTCTTGAAGTCATATAATATGTTCAGTTTGCTACGAATATCCGTGCAGGTCGCCTCGACGAAGAATCGTTTCAAACACAGTGCATAAACTCTCAGAATGTTCGGACAGTATATTCACTTCAGTCTTTCCATTATATCACACTAGTTTCGTCTGTACATTTGTTTCCTTTATGTCTCTTCGTGTACTTGTATTTCTGTTAGTTTTCTTGTGCTTTTGTGTCTGTACTAGTGTTTTGTGCGGGAACTCCTCTGGATATGGGTGTTCAAAAGAGAGGATGTAGTTTCAAACAACAGTTGTACGTGAAAGGTAAGTGTTTAATAGTATTTTTATGAGTTGAAGTATATGAGTAAATTAGGGTAACTCTTAAAACCACTATAGTCTTGCTACACTATGGTGGTTATCCTTTTTCAGGAGTTTATGGTTGTTTCGTGGACAAAAGAAGAATTTGTGATAGGAAAAGTCAAGCCTTTTCAACTGTACAGGGGGTAAAAGTATTATTTGCATATACCCTTTTTTAAAATGATTCTATGGATTCTTACATTATTGTATTAAAATTTCTGTTGCCTTACATTATCTTCATATACTTCAATCATGTACTAAATTTTTAAACATGTTATTCATCGGTATATATTTTTCGTTGTGTTCAATACGTTTACCACAAGAAACCTGAGTGTGCAAATAATGGTTTTACTCATTACATGTGCACAGAAACTTGGTTTTATTATTTTAATTTACAGAATAGTTACTCAAAAAATGTCCACATTTTTAAAAACACCCTGTACATGCTTATAGTTACAAAAATGTATGTGAAAAACAATGCCGGCTATCATGTAAATCTAAAAAAGGTTTTAAATGATTGCCAATCTCATATTGCAGAGCATTTATTAAGAACAAATACAAATAGTTAAAGCATTCCGTGATATCGTAGAATCCAAGAAATATTTAAAATAATTGTCTATCTTATAGCATATGTTATTTTCTAAGTATCAAAATAGATGTTTAGAATAATTTACAATATCACCTAAATCCAAGAAAGATTTAAAACAATCGTCTATCGCATACTATAGATAAACCAAAAAGCCTATCCACAATACCACCCAAATTCGAGTAAGATTTAGACTAACTCTCTATCCCATATTCTACGTTATTTCATAAGTATATAAATATATATTTAAAGCAATGTATGGTATCATTTAAATCCAAAAAAGATTTCTATACTCTAGATCACTTTGCATTCCATAAAAAGAAATGAAGATCTATTTTTCTTTCCATTACCAAAAAAGAAAAAAAAAACAATTTAACGCTTCCATTTTGCATCCACAACGATCAGAACCTGGAAACACGGGAACAGAAAGGGATCGCGATAGAATGAAATAAAACCGGCTACAAAAGGTGTGTACGGGGTGGGTAGTTTGCCGGAGAAAACGGGGGAGGAAGAGAGAAAAGGGAGATTGATTGTACCGGCACTTGCTCTGGCGGAACACATCGATGAAGTTACATTACCGACTAGACCGAGTTACGCAAAGTGGACGCTACAAACTGGACGGCCGCTAAACTTAATTTGCACTTCGAACCAACTTCCGGTTAAACCGCGTCCCGACGGCGGCGGTGCCGAGTCGCCTCTTCGGAACTTCGACGGGCGGCTCGCCTGCCTATTCACCGATCGCTTTCCAAGTTGAATCTCGTTTTCTATCGGATGACGTTAACCTCCGTTTGAGGAAATTCCATGCTGGTTTACACAGCAATGTCGATTTTCATGCTTGATTTTTATCGTATCGACGAAAGCTATTATTTAGAATTATTCTTTATAGTTATTGGGTGAATTTGGATAGTCCTTGACAGGTCATGCCCCATAGT